AAATTCTGTTCACACAACTTCTTTCTTTTCATTAAACTATATATACCCAGTTCCTGCAACCGTTCCTCATATGTTTTAGTCTCCAGTCCCCTCATCCTCTTTCTTGCTCTTCTCTGCACTCTTTCTAGAGTCTCCACATCTTTTCTACATCGTGGCAACCAGAACTGAATGCAAATATTCCAAGTGTGGCCTTCCCAAGGCCTTATAAAGTGGTATTAACCTTTCACGTGATCTTGATTCTATCCCTCTGTTTGATGGAGCCTAGAACTGTGTTGGCTTTTTTGGCAGCTGCTGCACACGGCTGGCTCCTATTTAAATGGTTCTCCACTCGGACTCCAAGATCCCCCTCACAGTTACTACTGTTGAGCAAGGTACCACCTATATTGTACCTGTGCGTTTCATTTTTGTTGCCTAAATGTAGAACCTGACTCTTTTCACCATTGAATTTCATTTTCTTAGATAGTGCCCAATGTTCAAGTTTGTCAAGGTCCTTCTGTATCTTAAGCCTGAAGTCTTCTGGAGTGTTGGCTCTTCCTGCCAGCTGGGTGTCATCTGCAAATTGGATAAGTCCCCCTTCTATTCCCTCCTCTGAGTCATTCATGACTGGGTCCAGTCATCCAACTGACCTTCTCTGCAGCTGTGACTTCCAGAGACAGTGTTCAAATCCAGGGGGCGGGCGGGGGGGGGGGGGGGAAACCCACACAGATTGCTTCAACCGTCCGTCTGCTCCGGCAGCTGCCCTGGACAGAGGATCTACTGTCCAGAGAACAGGAGGCTCCCTGTGGATCTTTTCTAAGGATCCTGCCAAAACTGAAAAAAGTCCTTTTTGATACAGTCCCGGTTGCCCAACCATCAACCAGACAATGAGGGGGTCTGTTTTATGATATGCTATTCCTTGATTTTTATTTTTCCTATCAAGGTGGCTGAATTCTGAATTTCCTGGAATTCCAAATATAGGATCAAATCCTCATTATGATAGCTGAAAGACAATTGTGCAATCATTTTTGGTACTAAACAAGAAAGCATCAACCACACGGGAAGTTCTCGATTCACAACCCACAACGGAGAGCCCAAAACGTCCCCTCCTACGCCCAGCCGTGGTCAAGGGGGTCGTTTTGCCCCGTTTGCAACCTCTCTTCCCAAAGTGGCTCCCTGCAATCGTCAAGTGGATCCCATGGTCGTTAAACGAATCCAGCTTTCCCCCGCCCCCCATTAACGGCTTGTCGGAAGCCCTGCTAGGGAAGGCTACCGATAGGGACCACATGACTGCAGGGCACACTGCAACCGTCATAAATGTGAGACAGCCCACATTTTGATCAAGTCACCATACTGCGACGGTCGTAAGTGTCACTTCAAATGGTCACTGAATGAGGACGATCCATAACAGATAGCCTGGGTCGCGAGAAATTTTGAAATGTTGGGCTTGGACAACGTAGAACTACCACCGACGATCTGACCTAAATGTAGTGCACAAAATTATTTGCCACAATGTCCTACCTGTCATTGACTACTTCAGCTTCAACCACAATAATACACAAGCACACAATGGATATGTCAGGCCTGCAGCCGTCTTTTCTTGTGGGTCTTTGGCCAGTCACACTTTCTATTATTCCACTATGCATTTTCTGTGGTGGGGAAATGGGAGGGGGGGATTGTACGGAGTTAGATGCCATGTAGCCATAACAACATTCTTTCTAGAAAGCCAAGGTC